TATTTAGATAAGAAACAAGAACAGTTGTCCCCCCAAAAAGTGTAAATATTTAATAACATAAATTTCCCCCAAAAAAAGGCATTAAAGAATTTTTGGAGAGTTGGCGGGCAGATTTTCACCATCTTATGAATTTCATGGCTTGAACTTGGCGACACACCAAAAAAAATACAGCAAACTCACATAAATAAATAAGAAAACACAGAGGAAGCTGACTCCTGGCGTCAGGCCATAAAAAAGGTAAAACAAACAAAACAGGCTAACAAACAACAAACAACAACAACGGCGGCATATTCATGATGCACTAAAAAAAATGGAGGGTGGGGAAAAAAGCCAGGGAAAAGGGGGCAAAGTTCTCAGAAGGTAAAAAAAAACAGAAGAGAAAACAGGGGTCTTACTTTTTACCCTCGCAAGTTTATCGAAAGTCAATTGGGCGTAAACCCTGATAATGAATCGGTTTTGCGAATGAAAAGCAAAGGCTGATGAATAGGCTACGCAAAGGCTGTTATTTACAAGTTAAGCCGCAGCTATTCTAAAAATATTTACTTGAAAGATTAAATACATTTTCTAAATACTTTTTCTAAGACTTTTTTTTAAAGAATTTATTCGATTTTATATTAAATTATATAATTAGGAAGTTATTGTCATTCAATATTAATATATTTTTATTATATCAAAATAAAGTAGTTACAAATATTATTAACATTGTTATTATATATTGGTTTATTAAAAATATCCAAATAATAAAATTTATTTATTTTAAACTTAAAGTCAAATTCACCGCCCTCAGTTCTTCCCCAAAAGGAAAAGCCAGCAAAGGCCAAGCGACATTTTACTTTTACACACACGAAAACTCCCAGGGACTTAATTAATTAATTGTCAGGCGCTTCTCTTCCTTAATTGAAAGCCCATTCAGGCGCGAGCATCAAAAACTATAATTAATATTATTGTGGGCTGTCGGCGAAAGGTTAACTTGAAAACCGTTTAATTGCCGTGGGTGAATGTGAATGTGAATGAATGGCAATTGAGGCGCCAAACAGAAGCCAAATGAAAATCTCTCTTGGCAATTTGTCGTCTCGTCGAATTTGGGTCACACGGAAATGAAAGCCAAGTTAGCAGACAAGCGGACAAACAGACAGATAGACTGGCAAACAGCAGACGAATCGTTGTAGCATTTAAATGTCAAATCAGGCCCAAAAAAAGGTAGGAAAAATGAGAAAATTGAGAATGGGTGGGCAAAAGACAGGAGCAAATAAATCAAAACTAAGTGGCGACAAAATTAAAGTGAAATGTTTGCCAAGAGGCTTAAGTTGGCCCAAAAAAACAGTCAATGGAATGAGCAGGAAATTAAGGAATGCTGGTTTCTAAGAATATTTAGGTAATACCTAATATTTAATCTTCTTAGAATTGTGAATTTACTCGAGGAAAATTGCCCATTTTCACCTAACAATTCGCAAATTATATCGTATATCGCTTATCGTATATAGTATGCATATGCAACACTTATATAATGCAGTTGGTTTCTTTAAATCAAATTAAATTCGTTGTCCAAGCAATTAAATGCATGCAAAGTTAATTGAGAGAGAAGCAGCAGCAGCTGACTTCAAATGATTGTTGCTGCTGTACTTGCAATGTTCATTGCTGCTGTTTTTTTCCTTCAATTTTGAATTGCTTTGGCACGTTTCTTGTGTGCAAGCAACCAAAGCAAAGTACCAAGCACCTCGACTATCAGATACCCCTTTACTAAGCTAAAGGAAGTTATGCCAGTAGTATATCGACTGCTTGCATTAAATTGTTTGCTCATAACTTTTTAGTAAATGGTAAGTATTAAGCAGCACAACAAAATGACATTTACCATTTTACAATATACCCTTTTACTCCACAAGTAAAGGGTATAAAAACTCCAACCAAAAGGCACCTGCATAAACAACATATAAAACTATAAGTGGTATATGGGTTTTTTTTCGGTAGGGGTATCCTACACACACACTTAATTGCTCCCGACTTCATTGGAGTTCACTGTTGTTTCGCTGCCCATACTCGAGACACACATTTAAATTGTTTTCACTGTAAAAAGGGAGAGAGAGAGGCAATTTCCAACTTTGTCGTTTTGTTGTTCCCAAGGAAAAACTCTTGAAGAACTGCAAATTCCGTAGGCTTTTCCTTTGATGCAGAGAGGCCTGCCTATATGCAAAACACCGTTTAACGTATTTTAATTACAACAATGTGGGAAAGCCATTAAAACAAAGCAAAGAAGCGAAAAAATAAAGCTGAGAAATGAGAATTAAAATAATCAGAAAAGCAAACGCAAGCTAAGCCAAAACGCAAACAAAGCCGGGCAAAAAAAAAGTAGAAAAAGAAAAAATATATATGTCTGCATATAAACCGAACAACAATGAGCGCAATTAAACAAATAATAATTAAGGAAAATTACTGAGATGCAAAAAGAGAAACCCAGCATGTTGTTGCCATGATATTTTTATTGAAATTTCATTAACGGCCAACAAGAGGCGGAGAGTTAATCTTAAAAGCAATATGAATAATGGCGAAAAAATACAGTAGAAGCCCGTAAAATTATTCATTGAAGTGTAGTGAGGTTAATGCGCTTGATTTTAAATTTTATACATGAAAAACTGCACAACAAAATTGCATCTATGATATTCCAAAATCTTTAAAGATGTAAAACCCTACAAATCTCATCTCCTCGAGGCCACTTGCATCACATACCCCATATTTTTCTGTCTTTTCCCAACTAGTTAGCAGGCCTTAACTTGGCCAATTTCGTTTTGTCTCAGCCATTAAGCAAATACAAGAAACCTCTTTTCTATTTCACCTTTTTACCCATTAAAATCTACTACTTCTTTTATTTCTCATTAGCTGGCTCTCAAAGTTTCCTCTTCTTCGTCGGATCTTTTTTCCACTCTTTTCTCGCTTGGCTTTTTCACACGCTTCGTTGGCGAGCTTATAAAAAAGATCATAAAATTGAAAGAAATAAAGAAAAGCGACTTGAAAATGCAAATAGAAAAGGTTAACACACACCAAACAAAGGCTAAGCAACAAAAAAACAAAAAACAGGCAGAAAATAATCATAAAAAGTTGACAACTTGTTGACCCCTTTGTTGTGTTTTGGGGATCACGTTCGTTTTAAATCATAAAATACAATTTTGAAAACGCATCATTTCGTTATCAGTGTAAATTTCCATCGTCTTTCCATTTTTATTTTATTTTTCCGCTCTCTACTTTGGTTGCAACAAGCAAAGACAAAAAAGGTAAATTTAATTTTGAATTTTTAACGAAAGAAAATCAATATTTTATTTTGTTTCTTTTTGTCTTTTTCTCTGACCCGATTGATACCCAAAAAAATGGAAAATATATGTTATAAATAAATAAGCTTTTTAATTAAAAAATATTTGTACATTTTAACAATTTATTTTTGCCGAAATACTTTGAAAATTTCTTTAAAGTCTAATAAATTTTTTTGCGGTGTTTAGACTTACAAAATTATAATAGTTATTTATAAAATTATTTTTAAAACATCTAAATTTGCATTATATATTTCTTAAATATTTTTAAACTTTTTTTAGGTATCTGAGAGACTTTAAATCTTCGATTCCCGTTGCTGCTGACGTTGTCCGCTTTTCAGCCGCAGTTGTTGCTGTAATTTTCGCATAAATTTCCAATAATTTATGCAATGGCTTGTGCATTGTTGTCGATGCCTGAGTTTGAGTTCGAGTTTGAGTTTGACTCCGAGAGCTGCACATACAGCACAGTCTCTTCGGTTGCGGCTGCCATTTTCCTCCGCTTGTTTATCGGATTTTTTATTGTCATTTGTGTTTTTATTGAACAGTTTGTGACATTTTACGATTTTCAAAGTGAAAGGTACATATTTGGTAAATTGCTATGGCCAAAGAAATGCAACTCTGTGCCTCGGTTTAGTTTTGCTTTAAGTTCCAGTATAAGTTTGGGTTTTTTTGCTTTTTTGTTGCCTTTTTTTACCATTCTTAACTGGTTTTCCCCGTTTTCCCGGGGATGAGTAGTTCGGGCCGCTGGCGTCTTGTTGAAAATGGGGAAAATTGCACTTTATATATGGTCCATAAAAGTTAATAAGTAACCGCAGTCGGAGTAGCAAGTGCCAGTCACGAAATAGTTGCCTTTTTCTTCTCTTATTCGCTGTGAATCGTAATGAATCGATGGCAAGTTGTGTGTTTGGGTACACTCATTCGATTCGATATTCACGCGTGAGACACGCGATTTAATCGAAGAAGAAAATGGTCGAGTAATGTAATGGTTAGCCAGGTTTCAGGTTAATTTTTAATACAACATTTAAGGTAACTTTTTAATCGTTTACTATTTATAAGAAATTCGATTTTCCACAAAAACTATGAACACATTTTCCGCAAAAGATGAAAGTTCTCGATTTGTTTCACTTTCTCACCGTGGCGAAACATTAAAGGCAATTACAGCGGAGCTAATTTTGGTCACGTGTGACACACACAAAATAAAAATAATTCTTCAAAAAATAAAAGGCAAAAAGTCTCCCCTTTTGGCAAGCGCGAAAATCAACACAATTAAATGCAAAAAAAAGGGAGAAGAAACCAAGAATAAAAGAAAATAAATACAAAAGGGGAGCCCAGCAAAGAAGTTGCATCGAAAGGTAAACAAACTGAAGAAATGATTTGGCGGCAAGCCAGAAATTAACACAAAATATCTCGAGAAAAACCAGGGAAGGCGACAAAATGCAATGGCATATTAAAGGGAATATGGCGACTATATCTTCAGCTCAATTTGCATACAAAAAAGATGAGAAAAAAAGTGCGGCGAAAATGCATAAGGAAAATAAATATTTGTTCTTCATAAACGAAAGCGAAAATTGATTTTGGCAGTGGAAAAAGGCACCATAAAAATCATCACAATGTTGATGATATACAAACTTTACAGAAAAGCTTGATTAGAAAAAATATCTTCTGGGAATTTAATTAAATTTCATTAAAAATAAGTTTCAACTTACCCAATTCAATTTTCCTTCCTCCAAATTAAGGCAACTGCAATGAAAAAATACACACAATTAGTTATAAGTATTAAACAAATTTATTTTTTTAAACAAATTTAATTTCGACCTACATCAACTTTAAATCTCTTAAATTTCCTATACGCGTTTTTTTCCTTAAACCAATTTGCATATAAAAAGGTTAGCAACAAATGAACCAACAAAATTCAGGGAGTAAATCATAATGAAAGAATCCCCAGCCGAAACGGAACCAAAACCAGAGGAGGAAGGAAAACAACAAACAAATAAATCTAAAAGAATGTAGGGGCGTGGGCAGAGGGGGTGGTTAGGTTAACCGTAGTGAGGTAAACATGATGTTGCAAGTGTTCAATAAGACAGCGACGAAGGGGGCGGCAGCGCGCTGGGGGTGTGGCAGTAGACACTAGAGTGGATAGGTTGGATTATGGCTGCAAAAACTAACAAACCATAAAAATCCGCACATAAATTACAAGACAGAGGCGGGCGAGAGGGGGGTTTTTTAGGGGGTAAATAGAGAGAAAATGTTGCAGAAATTATTTAATTTTATTTATATTTCGGTAACTTAAGCGATGACAGCCATCTCTGGTAAACTTTAAAATGTGTTTTAAGCTTTAAAAATGTTTACTAAAATTCCAATTTAAATTGTTTCTTGTCTACAGAATATTTTTGAAATGTTTTAAATGTTTTATATTTTTAAAGCTTACTGGGAACTTTTCCCAGTGTATCAATAGTCGAAGAAGCAGCAGCTGCGCCGACGATGGGCAACATACGCAAATGCAGGCAGCAGAAATTTATGAGCAGCCATTCGCAGGCACAGGCATCGCCGAGGATCCGCCGAGCGAAACTGCCACAAGTGGCCAAAAAGATAGAAGCGCAAGGAGGGTGAAATGAAAGGAACGGGGGAGGGGATGGGTATATACTACCATGCTATATGTATAAGACCCGGGCCAAGTGCAATGACAAAGGCAAATAAATTACAGCATCATTTGCAGGCAGAAGCAGCCGACAAAGTGGCGAAGGAAGCACTAGGAACAGGACCAAGGAGAAGCTTAACTACCATAAATTGGCCAACGACAATAAAAAAAAAGAGGAAAAGAGGGAAAGAGGGAACAACCAAAGGAAGAAAGCAAAAAAAAGACCAAACCTCAATCAATGGAAAAATAATTACAAGCGTTACTTTCTTCAGACTTTTTTCGCTTTTCTCCTCCAGTTTACCCTTCTCTTTCCTTAAGCATTAATCAATGGTAATTGCATACAGCCCGAAAATAAAGGAAAAGGATTAAAAGCAGGTGGCAGAGGATTTTAGATTTTCGATTATATTTTGGATTTTCATATTGATTTTATATTTTACATCATAATTTTTGCGAAAAATGGCCAAAAAATTAAATGTCCAGGTTTAAATGCCAATCGGTAGGAAATTTAATAACGAATTCAGAAAGGTATGGCAATCCATATTTCCATTTTTAATCAATATTTCCATTGTTAATTTTTTCTTTTCGTTTTTTTGCTGTAACTTGGCCAAAAATAGTCCTACACGAAAAATAAATACTGTTTTGAACAGATACCTAAATAACAAATAAATCCATGACACTTTCCCGGTGATCTTGAAAAAATAAAATCATGATTTTTTACGAAAAATGGACAAAAAATAAAATTTCCAGGTTTCAATGCCAATCGATAGGAAATTTAATAACAAATTCAGAAAGGTATGACAATCCATATTTGGATCAATATTTCCATTGTTACGGTCAAAAAACAACCTATTTTTTGTGAAAAATTGTGATCTGATTTTTTGGCAAAAACTTGAATTTTTTCTCTTCGTTTTTTTGCTGTAACTTGGCCAAAAATGGTCGTACACCAAAAATGCATACTGTTTTGAACAGATAACAAAATAAGAAATAAATCCGTGACACTTTCTGGGTTATCTAGGAAAAATAAAATTTTCGCCAATTTTCAATTTTTTTATAAGGGGGTACATCATGATTTTTTACGAAAAATGGACAAAAAATAAAATTTCCAGGTTTCAATGCCAATCGATAGGAAATTTAATAACAAATTCAGAACTGTATGACAATCCATATTTGGATCAATATTTCCATTGTTACGGTCAAAAAACAACCTATTTTTTGTGAAAAATTGTGATCTGATTTTTTGGCAAAAACTTGAATTTTTTCTCTTCGTTTTTTTGCTGTAACTTGGCCAAAAATGGTCGTACACCAAAAATGCATACTGTTTTGAACAGATAACAAAATAAGAAATAAATCCGTGACACTTTCTGGGTTATCTAGGAAAAATAAAATTTTCGCCAATTTTCAATTTTTTTATAAGGGGGTACATCATAATTTTTTACGAAAAATGGACAAAAAATAAAATGTCCAGGTTTCAATGCCAATCGATAGGAATTTTAATAACGAATTCAGAACTGTATGACAATCCATATTTGGATCAATATTTCCATTGTTACGGTCAAAAAACGACCTATTTTTTTGTGAAAAATTGGGATCTGATTTTTTGGCAAAAATTTGAATTTTTTCTCTTCGTTTTTTTGCTGTAACTTGGCCAAAAATGGTCGTACACCAAAAATGCATACTGTTTTGAACAGATAACAAAATAAGAAATAAATCCGTGTCACTTTCTGGGTTATCTAGGAAAAATAAAATTTTCGCCAATTTTCAATTTTTTTATAAGGGGGTACATCATGATTTTTTACGAAAAATGGACAAAAAATAAAATGTCCAGGTTTCAATGCCAATCGATAGGAATTTTAATAACGAATTCAGAACTGTATGACAATCCATATTTGGATCAATATTTCCATTGTTACGGTCAAAAAACGACCTATTTTTTTGTGAAAAATTGGGATCTGATTTTTTGGCAAAAATTTGAATTTTTTCTCTTCGTTTTTTTGCTGTAACTTGGCCAAAAATGGTCGTACACCAAAAATGCATACTGTTTTGAACAGATAACAAAATAAGAAATAAATCCGTGTCACTTTCTGGGTTATCTAGGAAAAATAAAATTTTCGCCAATTTTCAATTTTTTTATAAGGGGGTACATCATGATTTTTTACGAAAAATGGACAAAAAATAAAATGTCCAGGTTTCAATGCCAATCGATAGGAATTTTAATAACGAATTCAGAACTGTATGACAATCCATATTTGGATCAATATTTCCATTGTTACGGTCAAAAAACGACCTATTTTTTTGTGAAAAATTGGGATCTGATTTTTTGGCAAAAATTTGAATTTTTTCTCTTCGTTTTTTTGCTGTAACTTGGCCAAAAATGGTCGTACACCAAAAATGCATACTGTTTTGAACAGATAACAAAATAAGAAATAAATCCGTGACACTTTCTGGGTTATCTAGGAAAAATAAAATTTTCGCCAATTTTCAATTTTTTTATAAGGGGGTACATCATAATTTTTTACGAAAAATGGACAAAAAATAAAATGTCCAGGTTTCAATGCCAATCGATAGGAATTTTAATAACGAATTCAGAACTGTATGACAATCCATATTTGGATCAATATTTCCATTGTTACGGTCAAAAAACGACCTATTTTTTTGTGAAAAATTGGGATCTGATTTTTTGGCAAAAATTTGAATTTTTTCTCTTCGTTTTTTTGCTGTAACTTGGCCAAAAATGGTCGTACACCAAAAATGCATACTGTTTTGAACAGATAACAAAATAATAAATAAATCCGTGACACTTTCTGGGTTATCTAGGAAAAATAAAATTTTCGTCAATTTTCAATTTTTTTATAAGGGGGTACATCATGATTTTTTACGAAAAATGGACAAAAAATAAAATGTCCAGGTTTCAATGCCAATCGATAGGAATTTTAATAACGAATTCAGAACTGTATGACAATCCATATTTGGATCAATATTTCCATTGTTACGGTCAAAAAACGACCTATTTTTTTGTGAAAAATTTGGATCTGATTTTTTGGCAAAAATTTGAATTTTTTTTTGCTCGTTGTTTTGCTGTAACTTGGCCTACACCAAAAATACATACTGTTTTGAACAGATAATAAATAAAACCATAACACTTTCCGGGTGATCTCGAAAAGGGTTACATCATGATTTTTTCATGATATATTTCTTTAAACTGTTTCCCCTATTAAGTTTTGTTTTCTGCATCAGAACTTTTTTTATCCTTTCATCAGCAGTTACAAATTATGAATCACTTGGGAGACTCCGTCTCAAATGTTTTTTTGTTTTTTTTTCTGCTTTGCTCTTGCAACAATACAAACAGAAATTATATTATTTCTCCTCTTCTGGTTTTTTTGTGTAATTGAGCCCCGCATTGTTGGAATGATTGTTGGGAACGGGTTCGCGCTCTTGTCCCGGGGACTTTATGATGTTTTATTGCTTCTTCTTTGCCAACTACCGCCACTTCAGATTCGTTTTCTTGTTGGGCCTTAAAATGGTAAGGTGCCGGTCATGACTTCAAAACAAATATTTCAGTTTTTAAAAGTTCAAAATAAATTGTAAATCCCAATAAAGCTTTATAATGTTTAAATGAAATGTTGTCCATGAAACTTAGATCTTGTTTATATTATAATTATTTCTAAAATCCTTCTTATGTCGCGCACTGTACCAAGTACACTCCCAAAAGTCATCTTGTCGGCAAAAGTCTTTGGCTTGGAAAAAAGCATTTTCAAGTGCTTTTTTCGCATTTGCCGCTTGACTGATGCCTTGTTGTTGTTGCTGTTGTGGAAATTGTTGTTATAGTTGTTGTTGAAAAATTTTGTTGCAATTTTGTTGGTGTTTTGACTGTTGTCGTACATGTTGTTGGCTGATATTGTTGTTTATGTTTCGGCTTGTTTAGTTATGTTTTCTCTTCACATTTTTTTGGTGTGTTTACTTATTTTTCGTGTAATATTACGTATACGTCTAGTACACAACCATTGTTGTTTTAATTGGCCCATGTTGAATGTGGCTTTTCGTGTTATTTTTTCAGTTTTTATTGCAATTGCTGTTGTTGTTGTTGCTGTTGCTGTCCTGCTCA